CCCCCCCCCCCCCCCCCGGGGGGGGGGGAGGGAGGGGGGGTGAGGCTGCAGTAGAGCAGTCCTGCCAAACCTGGATACTAACAATTAGTTCATCCTGTAATCAGTATTAATCCTTAATATAGTATAGATATTCCAAGGTCAGCAATGGAGGCTCTGCAAACTCCAACTGTTCCCTCCTGGATCTCCAAAGTGTAAATCCCAGTTACACCCATCACCAGTCCTGGCAAAAGATAGAGCAAGACTCCCCAGAGACACGCTGTGCTACATGGTCTGTTAGCAGTGAATACCTTGGGAGATGTTCATTCACCACATCTGTGTTAGTTGTTCTGCAGGTGCAGGAATACATAGCACACACAAGTCTCTATCCAGCCCTGAGCCTTTCTCCTCGCCTTCTTCCTGGCTGCAGATTGTCAGCAGGAGCAGAGGCAGCTACGGCTCTGGATCCTACATCCTGGAGATTGGTGTCACACAGCTCCTCATGTGGCTGAGAGAGCACTATCATGTCCAGGCTGCTCTAGCTAGCGCCTGCCAATATCTTTTTTTTCTCTTTTGATTCTTTCCCTTTACTTCAGTTGTAGTCCCCAGGTTTTCTTTCTTGCTTCCTTTTCCGTTCCAAGGTTATTTTAGAGTTTGTCTGCTCTAGAATCGGGAGAAAATAAGATTTTTTGTTTCACTAGTTATTACTAGTTCTTTGTAACTTTCATACTGTTGAGTTGTGGTTAGCTTTTGCTTGCATATTTTTTTCTTGTATATGCATTGTAGCTAAATTCTTTCACATTCAGCTGAGAGAAATAAAAATAAAGCAGGCTTTATAATGATATTTTTTTCCACCTGTTCTGTAAAATACTAATTTTTGCATGTGTACGTTTCCTGTTTCCACATTTCTGTGCTTGTAAATAAGTTATGATCACCAAAGGAATATTTCTGTTGCTAACAAGAAGCACCTTGCTGTCTTGTGGTCTGATATAAATTATTCATTGTTTTTCATGTAATCTGCTCTTGATCACAGGAACTTGTTTTCTTACTTCTTACAATAGCCAACAAATCTTCCTATGTGTGAATTCTTCAGAATGTGTTTGTGCACTGTTTAATTTTTAGCTTTTCTAATTTATGAACTATTTATTTATTTATCTATTTATTTCAGGGGGGAAGTGGCTGAGCTCAGTATACAGCATTATATAAACAAAACTACATTATTTTCTGTATTAAATTAGCATAGTAAGTACTGTCTCTCCACTATATCATTCTGCTGCTTAATTTAACAAGGTCTTGAGACATGCAGAGCTCAATAGGCATGATGAAAATGTAACGTGATAATAATAATTGCTTATAAGAGAAAAATGACAGTAGATCTAACACAAAATTGACATAAAGTCATGGGTCTTAACTAAAAATGCCTGTTGCTCAAAAATGAAATTTTTCTAAACACCCATTTACTGCATTTACTATGCATTCAAGAATAGAAACTCATTAATGCACTGAAAAGGAGTGGTAGAGTTTATAGAGGAAAATGGCAGAAGCTGAGGTTGCACAAGCATGCAGTTTTGGAGTTGGGAAGAAACACGAAGTCAGCAATGTTGTATGTGATGTAACACAGTAGTAAAGAAGTCAGAAGACAAGATCCTCTTTCAGCATCTGATGTTTGCCCCAGTTCCGTGTCAGTAACAACTCCTTCCATACAAAATACCCTTCTCTTTTCCTCCTTTTTCCCAGAAGAAAATTTCACATTTTCCTGATGGTTTTCTGATTTTCTTAGTAAGAACTTCCACACTCTGGATTTTTTTTCTCTGACTTGGAATACTTGAGTTGCAGTTATTTCTCTTTTAATTCCTTTCTGTTTTAAATACTGTAAGGTAGTTGAGTACCAGTCATCACGTAACTGATGAGGGCTGGAGCACCTCTCGTATGAAGAAAGGTTGAGGGAACTGGGCTTGTTTAGCTTGGAGAAGAGAAGGCTGCAGGGAGACCTCACTGTGGCCTTTCAATACTTGAAGGGAGTGTATAAACAGGAGGGGGAATGGCTATACGTGGGTTGATAGTGCGGACAAGGGGGAGTGTTTTTTTTAAGCTGAGACATGGGAGATTTAGGTTAGATATTAGGAGGAGTTTTTCAGATGGAGGGTGGTGATGCACTGGTTGCCCAAGGAGGTTGTGGATGCCCCATGCCTGGAGGCATTCAAGGGCAGGCTGGATGTGTCTCTGGGCAGCCTGGTGTGGTGGTTGGTGACCCTGCACATAGCAGGGGAGTAGAAACTGGACAATCATTGTGGTCCTTTTCAACCCAGACCATTCTATGGTTCTGTGATTCTGTTATCACTGTTCTGGCAGCTCACTGGGATATTGCAGTTCTACAAGCATAGGCAACATTTATTCTCCAAATCAATGGCCACCTACGTAGATGAAATTGTTGGACATGTATTTATCGGTGATGTGGATTTTGGCTTTTCACATCCTTAAAAAAAATTGTTCCTAACTGCATAGCCAGGGACTTATCTTACAAATTTTGCTAGTTTTGATAAACTAATATTCTCTGAGAATTGATTTCAAAGCATTTATTTTTGATGATACTAAAACCAAAATGGAACAGAGACTTACTGTCTTGATTTGAATCACTTAGAATAGAGAATAAATATGTTGTTTAGTATTCCCCGTGAATCAGGGCAGAACAAATCTTTTGTGGATTCTAATCTAACTCTGAGACATTATTCCTATAACACAACTAGTAGGCTGAATTATGTTCACTTCCCTATGTCGAAGCTTATGATTTATTTCAGTTTCAAGACTGGAATAATAGAACTTTGTACTTGTGCTGCTTGTATATAAATCTTTACTATACAAGCCCAAAGTAATGGATATAGCTGGTGTTCTTTATTCATATTCCTTTCTGCCAACAACAAGACTGTATCAGACAGCATGTGCTAAACCAGAACAGAGGTGGGGATTAAGTGATTATGTGGCTTTGGAAAATTGTACAAGTATGGTTTAAAGGATCACTGATATTTAGAGGAATGTGTTTTGACTGCAGAATACTTTGCCTCCAAATCTGCCAAGCCTCCTGTAAAATTTAAATACAGGAATAATAAAATGAATGTAATAACACTTTATACTTTCCCTTTCTGTGCAGTGGACATGGCACATATTTGCTCTGCAGCTGAGGTCAGCAAATAAACACTGATTTGTAAAGCCTAAATGAATAATTTGAAACTGTTACTCGTGTTGTCTTAAAGTGCTGAGGTGCTGCAGTGGGATTTGGCCACAATTGTAGCAGCTCCAGAAGGACAGGACACTCTACTCTTAGGTTTCAGGGATAATCGCTGGCACGGAGGGTAGAAGTTGAGTTCAATTACAAGCTGTGGTGGGAATTGGTCCAACGAATGGAGAATGCTCTGCCTGTGTCCTTCAAGCTTTAGATTCCTTCTGCACCATCTTTGTATCCTGCCCCACAATGAATCCTTTTTGGCTGGCTTCTCATATTAGTACCTTTTTCCGGATGAGAAGTATTCAGGACAGCCCTGCTAAGGTTTTTTAATGACATTTCTATTCTTCCTGACTTTTAAACTGTAGCCCTCAGACAGTCTTCAGGGATTTTTCCTCACTCTGTATATTTGCTCTTTTTTCTTTTGTAACAGAGGTATGTTGACTCTGTCCTATTGAGGCGGGTGAAAAAAATGATGGCTGTGACAGAAAGGACAAGCTTCTTTCAAGTCTTTTTTTTAAAAAAGGTAAGAATGGAAAACCTTTTCAGTTGAAGTCAGCTTTTTGTTGTTAATCTTTGGCATGAGGAGGTGGAGGCAACCATCGTTTTCCTCAGCAGTGTTATAAATGCGTGAGTAACTTTGGCTGATTTGGCTGATATATAACGCAGTCTGGGACAGAATTATGACTTTGAAAGGCTTTATGCAAAACCCTTGTATTTTCTAGAAGTGCTGGATAGTTATAAATGTAGTCCAATTAATTTAAAAATAGAAGAGCATTAGACTGTGTTGCTACCTGCCTTTGCTCACAGTGCTTTTGTAGGAGACAGAATTATGTCTCAGTACTCTCATTTTTGTGTTCATCACCTTTTATAACTTGTTGCTTAATTTGTTTAGTATTTATTATGCTAAAATTAACATTAATTATGCAATAATATGAATGTAAAACTTGTTTCTGTGATGTAACAGAATTGCTTGTGAGACATAATTTTATCAATAGCCGTTGCCCAGATGAAATGTACTGTACTACTGCAGTCCTTAGTTATATCTTTATTCCAGTGTGTGACATGCAGTCAATCTGTCATGTACTGGGAAGTACACATAATATGTCAAGGAATGTGATGGGATAGAACCATGGTACTGTGCCAAAGCACAGGGATACCTGCTGCCTTGCGCAGCCTAATGGGAAGCAGTCTGTAATGGTGATATGTTATCCTCCCATCTGGCTCCCATCCGGCCACATCCGTTTTGTAAGTCATGCAGTTATGTCATGAATCCAAGTAAGGAATTACTTTGAAAGAATATCTTACAAGCTTCTTTTGGTATGTTTCAATTTCTTACATAGAATCTGAAAAATATTCTAGTATTGACAAATTACAAGATAAAAAGGCATGATAAAGAGGGAAATGCACCAGAGAAAAGCTGGAATGGATTTCTGTGACATAATTTCATATAATTTAATCTATTGTCTTTAACTGTGATTAAATGGATAGGAAGCAGTGAGCTTGAATTTCAGGAAAAAAAATATCCAAATTATTAATCAGAAAATATTTGTATCAGAAAGGATGAAAATAGATTGCCAGGAAAAGCGGTACAATCTTTAGTATTGGTGTTATTTAAGGAATACATTAGACACACAGAATGTGTCAGAAAGAATTGAATACAGGCACCTGGGAAGGGGATAGAACTAATCAGTCCTCTCTCTGCCCCCTCCCACCCCCCCACCCCCCCCCTTTCCCTTTTCTTTTTTTTTTTTTTTTTTTTTGTCACTGGAAGCTATGAAGGCACTGAAGAAGTAAACTGATAGCATATGGAATATCTTTAGTTTCACATATGGAAATGCAGGCAAAGACTTTGCACAAAAAGTGATGAGAAATTTCTGTGCAGCTCCATGGAGATTTTCATTGAGCTGATTCCTCAGTATTACACATCTACAGATTAATTACAGAGTCTCAGTAATGAACTAGAAAGGAGATAAATAGACAAATGTTAATTAAATGTGGGTTTTTCTTATTGTTAAGGAAAATCCACTTTGAACTCACTTAAATCTGTTAAACTCCTTAGAAAATCTCAGTCCCCAGAACTATTTTATAACTAGCTAATATAACTTCTTTGAATATAGGGAAAGAAAAAGTAGCATTACACTATGGATTTTCTTTTCTGCTATTATCTTCTTCAACAGGTAATCAATTTGTTAAGAAGGAATTGGGGTATCTAGTGGACTTCCTCTGAAGTTAGGCACTGTATTTGTGTTTTCTGTCTTATAACCATCTACCATGCGCTGAAATTAAGAGTTCTTGACCTCAGAAGTTTAAAAACTGGAGAAAAATCGAAACAAACGGAGTTGTTAAAGACGTACATTTTTACATGTGAGAATTTCAGAAAAGCCTTAGGGGATATAATTATCCATTTCTATTCAAATACTGTGTAGATTCGAGAGCATAACTTCTTTTAACAGATAAATCCCAGAGGTTTAGGACTGCTCAGTAGTGGAGTGGCAGAAGAACTTGTCCTATTCTCATATAGGGTAGTGTAAGATTAAATATTTCCAAAGCAAGTTAAACCATTATTTCCTTTGCTTGGCAGAGTCACAGGGCCATTCAGATTCACAGACGGCACGCAGTCAAACCCCACCACCTACTTTCTGACAATGCTTCATAAAGCCTTAAAATGTAGAAGCTCCATTCCAATAACACTGAGATTCAAGTTCATTAAAAACACACATTCATAATTTTTCACAGGAATATTTTTTTTCTGTTAAGGACAGAAATGAAAGGGCTGTAAACTAACTGTGAATGTGGGTTACTAGCATTATGATAACAATTTTTTAACCTTATTGTCTTTCTTGGAACCATTTGTGATTTTCCCCAAAAAATATGTGCTGTGAATAACCGTGAAAATGTTATTTCAGTTTCAAAGAGGGGAGACTGCAAGTGTCAAGTGAGATTAGTGTATCTCATAAATATTAATTGAAATTGAAATATTGCCATTTATCAATACTTGTGCCTCAAAACAATTAGCATGAGACTTTTAGTATGAGTTTTCTACAAAGAACTGCTATCAAGTAGTTAGTTTCTCCATTCTCAGAACTGAAACATTTTCCATACCAGATTGTATGGTAAAGAAACTACAATATAACTGAAATATATGGTTCTTGGAGTGTGCTAATTACGTTTTCACTGGCTGCAATCTCAGAGGTACCCATTTTGATGTTCTGCTGATTGGTTTATCAGCATTTCAAGTCAGAGTTGGAAAATAAATCCTTAGAGAATACAAGTACATCCAAGGCTTTTTGCTCTGAACTTTGTTGAAGGCTACCACCACATTAGTGAAAGTGTTGTTTGTTCAAGAAAATGTTTGTCGTTATAGGACCATTATAGGACCATTATGCCCTGAGAACTTCGGGGAAGGTCTCTAGAAAGGAACTTTCCTTCCCTGCTTTTGCACCTCCCTTTGGCACATTGTCCCTGAAGAACCTCTGGAGGCAATGTCACAGAATAATGTGGTTCTGTGACATCTTTGGCCTGTAGATCCATGTTAACATTAAGACTTAATTTTCTTTGTGCATTCGGCCAAATTTGTGTCTAGTGCAGAGGCAGCAGCAATGACATGACTATTAAGTGAAGCCAAATGAGCTTGCAGTATGCAGTGGCTTTTTTTTCCATCATCTCTTTTTACTGCAGGTGAATGAAACACAGTTTTTTTACATAAATGCAGTTTAAATTGGTTGTTATCATACTGATTTCAGCTGGACTAGTAGCAACATGGAATTGTAAGTGGGCATCTAAAAAGTATACTGCCGGTAATTTTAATTTATAAATGGTCCAGTTAAGAATTTCTTATCAAGAAAAAGCTCCTGTCAGGCTTCAGAGTAAACTGATCCTGAGCATCAGGACATCAGCATGCAGCCAGAAATGATGAAACTTGTCAAACATCCATATCCTGTGTATTGGAGAAATGATGACTTAAATCCAGAGGGAGATGTTTTAAGTAGGAGGGCTGTTAGAGTTGCATCAACATGAGGTCTGCAGGTATTTTAAAAGCATCAGCATTAAGCTGACAGGAGACATTACGGAAAGTGATTTGAGGGGGTGGGATATAAGTAATAGCAAAGGAAAGAAGTTAACTGAAATACAACGGACTCCCGAGGCAGTGAGAATTATGTGCATTGGAACTGGGATGCAGCAGTAGGGTTTTCAGCCTGGTGGTTAGCACAGTTACTTCATAGTCACAGTGACCATTTAAATACCTTTAAATGAAGTTCAAAGCAGAGAAGAAAAAGCAACAGGGTAAATGTTCTGTTGGAGTTCATGACAGAACTGTTAACATCCCATCTTCCCTCTGTATTCTAGAGCCCTGCCACCTTGGCATTTCTTACATGACCAATATCATACACCCTGTATTGCCAGTTTACTCCATTTGGTCAGGCTGATATGTCATCTCTTGGTTAACCTTGATAAAGCAGCCAGATTTGCAAATGCGGAATGTCAGTGAGCTCTGATTTACGGCTGCAAAGGCTGTGAACTGCCAGCTTTGTGGAGAAGTGGGTGGGGACCAAGCAGAGATGGTTCCTGTATCTTTTCAAAATAGGAACATTTAGAACAGATAATTTTAAAAACTTAGATGTGTGAAAGTGTATGAAATATTGGAGAAAGGTGAGAAAAGGGTAACAGTAGCATCTTAACAGATGTAAGTATATGTAGTTTTGTTAAAAGTTCTTGATTTTTTCCAGCTAAGTATCTAACCTGGTCTCTTGCTCTGGTTCATGATGTCAGTCGTGTTTTATTTCCGCAGTTTAAAAATATAGTTTAGATTCCTCAGAGACGTTTAGAACTATAATGCTATAGTAAAGGGTAATAAATGGCTAATAAGATAATCCACAGATATGAGGGCTTTTTAAAATTGTATACAGATTATGCTTATATACCTGCTTCAGCATGCCATAGAGTGCTGGATCTGCCTCCTCACTTTGTTAACCAGAAGAACAGCATACAAACACTGGAGCCAGAACTGGGCTTAAACCCTTCTACTTTTCTCATTTCTGTGCTGTGCATTGAGGTGATTTATTTGGACTGAAAGCGTAGGATGTTAAGGAGTCTTGGCAGAGCAGCAAAATATACTCTGTGTTTGGGGACTTCGCAGAACTGTTTGGTTTTGAGTTTTTCTCATCTTGAAAATTTAAATTCTATTCATCATAAAATTTGTTTAAGTTCTAAATGGTTATGCAGTCTGTTTAGGTGTATCTTCTAATAGGTCTCATATAATCAGAAGTGAGTGAAGACTCTTCCAATACTCATTTTTACGTACTGGAGAAAGTATCCCAAGAATTCCGGAAACTGTTGTTGCTCAGAGGATAGCATACTGGTGAATAGTTGTTCTGAGCACATTAATGTGTGGCTTGGTTGCTTACTTGGTATTACAGACATATTTTTTGTTCTGCAGAGGATACCTGGAAATTATATCCTATTCCGTCTTACTTGTTAACCATGCAAACATCTAAGCTTTGTGAACAGCAGAGTTGGTTTCTC